TGTATATATATATATATATATAGCGCCCATTTGTTAATAAGTTGGTAACTATATTTTTAACGCTCCTTGTTCCTTGTAACATGACAGTGTTACAATATGTTTATGCTGAATTATTTACGGTATTTTTGACTCACAGTATCGCGAAGGATTGCGAGAATCTCAGTGGAAGAGCTCTGAAACGGCTGGCTTTCGTCACGCACCTCTCGTGCGCTCAACAGACTGATATACCTCTGTCTCGGTAGATCTATTCATAGATGCGTGTTTCTGACGATTCACAATTTAGTCACACGATTAATTCAACTGCTTTTCACCAACCTGACTCGTCCATGTTTTTATACGTTACAAGCTGTTTGTGTACGCTACAGTGGGCTGATTCGTGTCTAGAGTTGTTATTTTGTATTAGATGGCTCGTATACGAATTAATTTCTATGCCATTCCTTATTATTTATTCTGTTCAAAATATATCGCAGTTTTCTCGAGCAACTGGCGGAGACAAGTAAAACTCGGCCGTCGGGGCTTGGGCAATGAGTTCATGCGACAGACCATCAACTCTTTTAATAGTCAAGCGACGAGGAAAACAACTATGTGCAAAGGCACCAAATTGACATACACGCTCAAACTTTGGTGCAGCGAGCTAAGCACTTATTTTTCCGCGATATTTGGACAACTAAGTTGTACTTGGCTATCCTGTAATCTTACATAGTTACGTACACCATGTACTATGCCACATTACGCAAAGCCTTATGATGCAGATCTCAAAATTTTTATACTCTCTTATTTCTCGAACACCAATAAGCTTATAGATCTCGTACCAAACCTACAAAAAAAATATTATGCTCATTTCTGGCGAGGAGTCAGGAACTGGGTGCTTTCCGTGGGACGATAGTGTTTTATATACGCACTCTTTAATAAATTCAAAGATGGCTTGTGCTATACATGTGAACTGTTGTAAAGCGGTGTCGCCAACGGAGCGAGATCAGACTAGGTGTTCATTGACTTGTTTAAAAACAACTTAATTAGCTGCTGTGGTAATCAACATATGCGCTCGATATCACGCGCGAGTTGTCGCGGTCTGCGGCAACTACCTCGAACTGTACACGTGTTGCAGAATTCGACGCATCTGACTCGCTGCTGTCCATTACCCACATGCGTGTTTCTAATACATCGCCCTGCAGATATTCCAGGACACATCAGTATTTGATATTTGTATAAGAATAAGTCTTATATACTCAGAGTTGATAGAATAGAAGCAATGCTGATCATGTTACCGCATCAGATATTACGGATATGTTTTTGGAATGAACATCAGTATGGGCTGAGCAGCAAAAGGGAACTTATATATGAGTTTATGCATAGGCAAGAAATGACAAGAAACTCCATGGGAGAAGCGAACAATATTAGCATAACTTACAGGAAACACGGGCGCAGACCATCGCACTCGAACGGTTTTGAACTTCGACGAATCATTGTCGCAGTATGTCTGAATCAGCCCAACGATAGTATGCAAGAGTAATGGGAAGGTCAACCGCGAGCTTTATAAGTTGCGCTAAAGCGCATCCAGATATAACATGTTGCGTACAAGACACATCGACATCACTGCACAGCTCATTTGCAGATTGTTGTGAGTTATTATTTCGTCGTGAGAAAGATGCCGTACTTCTGATTGTAATCAACAGTACGCCACGCTATTCGAGCATGTAGTTGAATGGCAAAAAACTGCTGCGATCAACAGTGAGACATGAAGAGTTGGCCTACCTTGAGCACGGCCCTAACTGCGAATCCCAGAGTGCACAAACCGTGCAGAATGGGTTGATCAAACCCGACGTTCTGGTGAAAGACGTGTGGAGATTGAGATTGTGAGAAAGGGTGGGATTTCATTGACAGGTTAACATGTTTAGTCTGGAAAGGGGAGACTAAGCGAAATAAACTATTCACATACACATTGTATATGTGCACAATCTCGATATCGACAGCGGTATGTTAATAGGGTTATCACGAGAGATTTACTCTGGAGAAATTTCGATTGTTCTGTCGCTATGAGAAATGTACAAAACTGTTGGTATAAAAGTTCACATCCACACAGAAACATACGTATACAGAAACTAGTTCAACGGCCATCGTGTACCTTTGCCACTTCCGGGTCAATGTGCAATGTATTGTAGTCTCCAGACAATCTGTAAATATGAGCCTGATTATCTGCCACTCGATCTTTGACAATCGAATCCGCTGGTCTGTCGGGACGGACCACGCTCTGTGAATTGCGAGATATGCACATAAACGTTAGTGATACTCGGAGACGAGTCAAATTATATGTGTAATTGTAATGTGACTCGGCAACTTCAAAGATTGTGGGTAGTGGTGACAGCTACAATATGATAGCACGCAGTATAGTATCTTGCCAAAACGTGTTTAAAACTCCAAGTATGAACCAACAAGTTTATAAGCTCTCACATCGGAAGCCTCGTATGGCACGAATACAGATACCTCAAAACTGGTCTCGCCAAAGGGCTCGAACCCTTTTAGGCCCACCGCTGCGGTGCCGGAAACAAATCGGGCGTATTCATGCTTGCTTTCCTTATCCATCAGTTTGAATTCCATTTCTATTGAACCGAATTTGCGCTTATCAAGCAGACATTTAAGTCTGGAGTACAATAGAAAATCTCCCCCGTCGACTGGCAGAGGTTTCAACAGCTCGTAGCGCCGTTCCGCGTCAAGCAAACTACCTATATACGGTAAGCATGTATACATCTGAGTGAGTTGATGTTACATGTGAAAGGAATGATTGTTTCCTTAAAATGACGTATAGATATGAAGAACCTTCGTAAGTACAAGTGCATCCAAGTGAGCGGGTTGTGAAAACATTGCACTGACTTCATGGTTGTTTCGCACCCATTGCTGTAAGTATAGCCATACAATTTTATACGAAATTCCAGTGTTGACGCCTTCTAGTGGTGAAAATCACTGAGAAATCTACGCACGGACATGTAGATACAAGAGTACGGTCAGTGCCTTTTCAGGTCATCAAATTCATCTGTATAGAATAGGATATCTGGTACCAAAATCTAAGACCTCTTCACAGTGGCCAAATGTGCAGATGGTCGCTTGTACTCACTTTGGCGGGAGTAAGAGGAGTGCAAATGCAGTGCATATTCACTTTTGAGAGCGACAAAAGAGCGATGCAGAATTCAATCAATAATAATCAATAAGACTCTCAATCCGCTGTTCGACCCCCGAGCTCAACGTACATAATTAAGCCAGCACGATTGAAGAAAATAATCATCACCGAAGTAGAAATCTCTCATCATTTCAAGCAACTTCCACAAAAGTGTGGTGCCGATTAAGAAATTGGACCTCGCCAAAAGGGATAAGTAGTTCAGAACACAGGAAAAGGGGCAAGAAAGCTAGAACACAGCACAGAATATAGGTAATGAAGACAGGTGGTTCGATACACCTGTAGAAATACTAGGTATACCTGGTGGTAAAGGTGGGAACCCTTTGAACACATCATCCCAAACCTCCATTGCCTTTGATGGAAATCCCACAACATCAGAAGAGTCGCCTTTGAATCCCAACACCAATGGATATGTAGGGAAGATAGAGAACGCTGGGTGGTGTTCAAATACATACTCCAGATCATCTGATCCTATACCCAAACTGTACAGAATTGAATCGCGTTTATTGTAGCTCACTGGAACGGGCTTCATCCATTCACCGTGAGCGACGGTGGACTTTTCGTGCAAATTTCGATGCGTAGAGAGCGTGCGTTTATGCATAGCTGAATGTGTACAAGAGTACATCAGACGAGATGCATTTGCTGGAACGCTAAAACGGGGTGACAGCAGCTTGTGGCGTATGGTTCTATGAAGCAACACTCGCGGACAGGACATATTGCAAAACAATCGTATGTTCACTCTCAAACGGCCTCTGCGTAGTTGTGTATTGTAATACCTTCCTCGTCCATTTTTTACGTCTTCGTATGTAAACACAAATGAATAAACAAATTGCGATAAATAGATCATATGATAGTCAGATAGAGTATTGACAAAGAGATCAGAGTTTGTTTACTTTCCGCCACTAAAAGTTGCCTAATTTGTGTCGCGCGGGCCTTGTAACATCGTAATTTGAATGGTGCACATTGGTAGAAACTAGGTACAGGGTAACTCGACCCGATTTTTTGTAAGTTTTCTGTAACTGACTGGGCCCCCGTGTCAGATTGGGGTTGTCCAAAAACGCAACAAACCTTTTCGAACCAAATGTGAAATTCAGGTGCCCTTCCACAGAATTTGAGATTTTGTGTTCAATTTTTAGAGGGCTATGATTTATTGCAGAGTCTGCCTAATTTCATTATTTCAAATTTGAAAAGAAACAGCTGACACGAAAGCCAATCTAGATTCGAGACATTTATTTCAGATCGAATAGATAAGGCTCAAGGGCCCAGGCCCCAGGGCGCCAGGCTCAAGGGGACCAGGACCAGCCGGCAGCCGCTGAGCCGCAACACTCAGCCGTACAAGACTCCATCTTCCAGAGGAGTCCAGCACTCCAGCTCCAGCTCACCAGGTCACCACTCCAATGACCACCAGTCACCAGAGTCCAAACTCCAGCGGTCCAGCCTGATTACTATCAGACCTGAATCCAGAAAACCCGGTTTCAGTGAATACTCACCAACACTGTAAAAAGAATGGGCTTGTGTAACAAATCAGAATAGTAAAACTTTACCCACTTGCTAGTTCCCACCCCACCAGTGAAGCTGAGAGGGGCTGATCGCTGACTTTGTCCACTCTCTTGAGTATGCAGTGTGCTGACGCGCTCTAAATCATTTGACCCGGTTTTAGGCACAACCAAGAAGCAACAAATTTCCAGACACACATACCAACTCTATTCTGAATCTAGAGACTAGAGATAAACGAGCCAATACATTTGACGACCAAATTACACGCCGTCGATAATCATCACTATGACCACACCCCAGATCACCTCACTCCTCTTATGGGATCCCAAGGACTCTCTTGTCGAGGTATTCAAAGCACAATTCTCAACAGGCGAGTTAATGAGAAATGCACGTGAAAAGCTCACATCAGCAACTAGCTCCTCCCCCAAAACGGCAGACCAACATGTCAGGGAGACACTTCTTAGCGTAGCCACGTACATAGAGAAAATGGATGTCCCTTGGTGGTCGTTATGAACAATGCCGACCAGACGGAGGCGGTGCTGATGGAATTTGTGGCTGCACGCAGGCGCGAGAATGGCGATCCTATATTCCAGCTGAATTGGTGCCAGGTGAGGGAGTAAATTCATTGGTAGACAGCGTATGTATCGTTGTGCCGTCTTATTCTGAGTGCATATGCTGTGTAGTTCTTCAGACGTGCTTCCCTCTGCTTGCAGCTGAATTGTTACAAGGTGAAACAGTGAGCGAGTTATTTGGTTAACAAAGTGTCGTTGCTTTGTTCTATTAGGAGTGCTCATGGTGTGTGTACAGGTGCAGACATAATTCCCTTTATTCCAGCTGATTGGATTGAGGTCAGAGACTGAGTTTGTCGAGTGGCTCACGAAATGTCACTGCGTTGTTTTAGTCTGCGTGCGTATGGTGTGTATATGATTTAGTCGGTGTAGATAGTACTCATAAGTGTCTCTAGAAAAGTATGGTAGGGTGTGTGCTTGAGATTACTTCTAATGCTCACATATAACGCGTGTAGCTAAGATTAGTCGTATTTTTTATCCATTCCGGTGTTACTTTCGAATACCGACATGCATCATGTTGCACACAGTGCTTTCAAGATCAGTTCTTGTCGTACGTGTTAAATTCTATCGTAACCATATCTTTCACATAAAAAGTAGACAATCGATCGTTACACGGAAACAAAATCAGAATCCCTTGTACTGCACTGTCGCTTCCAATAACAATGTAGACTACGAGTTTGGCTACTGCTTTTCAAGGCGAATGCAAGTGATCACAAACTACTATCACCCACACAGCAACATGAATTCGACCCAAACTTTATGTTGGCTGCCAAATTTATCATGGATGTTGGGCAAAAACAACACTAAGTATCTGTGACGCCAGGACAAGAAGAAATGGACCTCATCTCGAAGACCCTAAAGGAGAACCAGTCCACTAAACAGGAGTACACTTGCCCCGCGTCCCCTGAAAGCTTCATGTCGGCGAGCTATATGACAGTCCAACCCGCACCTAAAGAGGTGGACACAAATAAGGCCGCCAAAGACCAGCGCAGGTTTGTGGTGTGTGGCGGTGAGGGCCCATGCGGTGCTCGAGGTGTGCGAGTGCGCAGTACTGCTCCACTGCGTGCCAGAGGAAGCACTGGAAAGCCGGGCACAAAGAGGTGTGCAACAAACCCGCATCCAGTAGTACGGGCGACACCTCTCTCGGAGTTTCTGCAGATGGCAACAGTATATATATAGACGCCCAAGAACCAGAAGGTGCAATAGCTTTCGGGACAGCTTCAGCGATATCGTCCTTGACCAGTGTCGTGTCCAAGATCAAGAGGGATGGCAAGATACCGTATAACCTCCACGGTGATGACAAGTTCGTGGTGAAGATTCAGGTACCTATGACGGGTCCTGGTACCATGATGATGTATGACGAGCAGAGAAGCTTCAATCGCCTTGTGGGGATGAAAGAGCCGGGCGCTATGAAGCTATATAAGACAATAGAAGCGGTGGGTTTGGGTAAGCTGTACTTTATGGCCATCCGAGAAGGCACCAAGTTCAAATTCCTCTTGTCGCCTCTACCGTCCCAGTGGCAGCCATGGTAATCGACCTTGCATACATGTTAAAAACGCGTATGGATTAGGGCGACGCCGATGCCAGTTCACTGATCTGGGCAGGCTACTATTTGTCCACATTGAAGTCGGCGGATACTAAGATGACATGACGTGCTCGCCGAACAGCCTATCATTATATTTAACGCTTTTTATGACATTGACAATGACAGTAAGTAGGTACGCCGCGATCGGAATCATTAGATGCGAATGGAAGGCAATCACTGGCGCGCTGGGGCTCCATGTCAGGAGTACGCGTTGTTGTAAGGTGCGTACCATCATGTCCTGTAGGCAATTCCTATTGAAGCAGCAAGAAAGCGATCGACTGTGAACTACAACCGTCTCTACGTTCAACTGGCAATGGGTGTTACACTCCGACAGGTAGAGAGCATCTCTACTAATCGATAAGAAGGGAGTATCTCCGCAAATAAATTTACTTGCCTCCCAGGCGCAATGAGAGATTTGTAGGGTGACTTTTGTACCATGCATTCCGACTGATACTTGTATTATATTAAATTAGAATAGCATGATCTGTAACTTAAAATTGCACGTGTTTTATTACTTATTCAACTTAGAATAGCATAATCTGTTTAATCTTTTATTCAGCTTTTAAAATAACATGCGCTGTTTTATTCCTTATTCAACTTGAATAGCGAGATCTGATTTGTTTCATATTTAACTTAAAATAACATAAGCTGTTTTACTTCGTATCTAACTTAGAATAGCATGATTTGTTTTATTTCTTATTCAACTTAGAATGATAGCATAACATGTCTTATTACTTATTCAACTTAGAATAGTATGATCTGTATTTTTGCCTCTTCAATTTAGTATAGCATGATCTGTTTCATTAATATTTATCTTTGAATAGCATGGCCTGTTTTATTACTTAATAGAATAGCATAACTCCTGTTCTATTACTCATTCAACTTAGAATAGCATAACCTGATTTGGTACTTTTTCAACGTAGAATGGCTCAACATGTCTATTACTCATTGAACTTAGAATAGCATGATCTGCTGTTTTAGCTATTCAACTCAAATTGGCACGATCTGTTTTATTCCTTATTCAACTTAAAACAGCATGATCTGTTTCATTTTTAAGAAAGTCATTATGCCCAATACACGCGTTAAACATAGCGATCCAGCATCTGTGGTTGTGTGAACGCTGTATGTCTTGACCGCCTCAGACTCTTCCTGTTTCTTTGCAAGAATCGTCTCCACAGGCGAAGTTAACCTTAATTTTAAAATATATATATATATATATATATA